CTGCACGGGACTTGCACTCTGTCTGCCTCTCTCTCTCCTCTGCAGACAGACTCCACACCTTGTCTGAGAAGAGTTGTCATCCGGAGGTTTTCTTTGCTTTTTTTCCTTCTGCTTTTTTTAAAAGAAGTTAATGTTCAGCTGCCAACCCGGGCGACAGACGGCATGCATTTTTCTGAGTCATGAGAAAGCTCCCTTGAAGGCAGCCATTATCTGCTCAGGCTGTTTAATCCTGTGGAGCGGGGGGAGGGCCTGGGCCTGGCGTGGGGCCGCTTTCATCCCCGAAAACTGCAGGATGAGAACTCGAGCTGTCACGGCAAATCTTTAGCCCCATCAGTGGGGCAACATTTCCAACGAAAATACCTGCCCCTCCTAATCCCCAGATTTCCTGCTCCTTCAAAGCCCTTGTGCTCACAGGGTCTGCCCCTCCACCCATGCTGGAGTTCACTAGGGGGCACCAGGCCAGCCAGAGGGCAAATGAGCTGCCTCCACCCCCCAGGGGTGTAACTGGTGAGGCCTGGTAGGCGGTATCAAACTGGACATCAAAATGAAAACAAATATTTGAATAGATCATTTCATCTGAGCATAGCTAAAGGGCCCAAGTTGTTGGGGGTTTTTTTTATTTATACTTTTTAACCCTCACCAAGGATATTTTTCAATTGATTTTAGAGAGAGTGGAAGAGAGAGGGAAAGACGGAGGGAAACATCGATGTGAGAGAGACATATTGATTGGTTGCCTCCTGCACGAGCCCTGAATGGGGTCAGGGATCAATTCTACATGGCCATGCTCTATCCACTGAGCCACACCAGCTAGGGCCTAAGTTGTTTTATCATCCGTTGTAAAAGCGGAATGGTGACGCCGTTATCATGTAGACAGGAGGAGACTCACGGGCGTATTTAAGATCATTCAGATATTCTGCCCACAAGTGAAACCCTATTTCCCCTGACGGCTGAGACCACAGCATCATTCCGTTCCTACGTCCGTGACAAACCCCCGACTCACTCGGGATTCCAGTCACTTGGTACCATCCCCGGGTACCGGGCAGCCGTTGTAACAACTGACCGAGCGTGTCCAGACGCCGCCGTGCGACAGGGTGACCTTTCATTCATTTCCCAGTGGGCTCACCTTTGTGTCTCAGGGCAAGTGAAGCAAGAGGAGGAGTGGGCGGGTCCCGTGTTTGTGTCGGAGGATTGCGTCAGATGAAAACAAATGGATTGTATGTGCCTCCTGCTTTTGCTCCTGCCTCGGCTTCTCCCCAGACTCCGTAAATCTTACTGGCAAGATGGAGTCAAGCTTCCTGTTAACTCTTGAACATGTCACAGCTCCGTGGGAGCAAAAACAAGTGGCACCCAGCTTGCTCACACATGGCCCCGGCAGCGGCAGGACCAGCCCTGAGGAATGAGGTGCGGCCTGGCCTGGGGACAAGCTGGAGCGGCCGACCGTGGAGGGCGGCCCGGAGCGCTGTCCATTGACGGCGTTTCCCTGCCCACACGTCTGACTCGCTCAGGAAAGATTGACAGGGGTGTTTGTTTGGAAGTCAGACTCCTGCTGTCCCCACTAGCACAGAGATTCCCGCACATCTCACTTGTTTCTAGAAACTTCAGTTACCTCTCTGATGAGGAGTCTGGCCCCTCTTCACATTCACCCCAAGTTTACAGAGGAGGTCATTTTCTAAAAATGTGTTAGGGCAATAAAAAATATCACTAGAGGGTGGGAGGAGGAGGAGGGAAAGCAGGAGGGAGAGAGAGAGGAGAGAGAGTGAGGCAGACACTAGCTCTCCCTGCTGGAATAATAGGCTTGAAATATGAGGAAGTTGACCAAGGGCCCAGGCCGTCCACAAACAGGTTAATACCCCTCCCTCCCCCCGTAGCTCTCCTCCCGGAACCAGCTTTGCTCCTTCACGTTCTCTATCGGCCTGGACACAAGAGGGCACGGGGCCACCTGTCATCCTGAGCTTGGAGTCATTTTGTTGTTGATTTGAGGACGTGCACATTTTAAAACATTTCATTCGTGCCTCTGCTCTGTTTTGTTGCTGTCTTTTGGGTTTGCTAGTGTAAAGACTGTAGTCCTGGCCTTGTCATTTCGTGAATAATTCTGAGAGAGAGAAACTACCCCAGGGCACCATCCTGAATATACAGTGTTGGCTCTCAGAGGGGAGTGGGGAGCTGCCCCCTCGCCCCTACCCCCGGGACATTGACAGTATCTGGAGAGTGGGGACGCTGCTGGTGTCTGGTGGGCAAAGGCCAAGGATGCTGCCAGACATCCTACAAGGCAGGCTCCGGACAGCCCTTCACATCCCCACAGAGAACTGTCTGGCCCGAGAGAGGGCCACGGTGCCACCTTTGAGAAGCTCTGACACAGGGAGCCCTCCCTGGCACCCAGGCCTCCATTGGCTCCCAGGGGCAGCCTGTGGGGAGAGGGTGCAGAGGGATGCCATGCCAGGGAGTGGAAGCCAGTCCCTGAAGCTGGAAGGCATAATTCTAGCCAGATGAGTTTTAGAGACGAAGCTTTGCCGTTCCTAGTAAAATGTCGGCATGGGGAAAATGCAGTCGCTAAATCAGGCCCTGCAGCCACTCGTGGTAACAAACCGTGGAGGCATGATGGTGAACGCCAGATGGACCAGGCTGAGCCCTTTCTAAGAATGTGGGGCTAGTCCGAGGTCGAGGTGGGGAGAGCGGTGGTGCTGGTATCCACTCCGTCACTCCTCTGCTATGCATGCGTTGACTCACAGGAAGCTGCCAATTTTGAACTGTTTGAGGCCCAACAAAATGGCAGTTTCCTATGATTCAACCTAAATACTATGTCTAATGTACTGTAATATATACATTAGTATTGTTATGATACTATATCATATTATGCATGATACAGTCTATTGATATGAATTTATTAATGTGTCCATTTTATTTCTAATTATTATATAGTGTTACATTGTGTTATCAATTATAATTATATTAATGTCAGAGACTAAATTTATATTAATATTGGTGCATTAGTGTATTGATTATCTAGAAGATTGGCCAGCTTTTTTCTGTAAAGAGCCAGAAACTAAATATTTTAGTATTTCAGGGCCCTGCGGTCTAAGTCGTGACCCTCAACGCTGCAGCGGTAGCTCCAATGCAGGCAGAGACAACGCATAAAGGAATGAGGCTGATGCCAATAAAGCTTTATGCACTGACCCTGAAATTTGAATCTCACATAAATTTCACTACAGGACACAGTCTTCCTTTGACTTCTTTTTCAACCACTTAAAAATATAATAATGCTCATCCTAAGCTTGTGGGACACGAAAACACACGGCTGGATTTGACCCCTGGGCTGCAGCTTGCCAACACGGGATGACACCAGTTATTGTATCTATACTACACACACCCTATGTCATGTCTATACTCTACATATTGTACCCATATTAGATCTCCATTGTTATGCTCCGTGGTAGCATATTATATTAGCGTTTATGTTACTTGGTAGCATATATTCTCTTCTTTTACTATATATTATCATACTATCTCCCTGGGCAGCAGCATTCTGGTTACTCTCCTAGCTTCCTGGGCAGTAGCATTCCGGGAAGTCCCCATCTCCCAGAGCAGCAGCATGCTGGGTAATTTTTCAGCTTCCTGGGCAACAGCATTCTGGGTAGTCTTCCATCTTCCTGGGCAGTAGCATTCTGGGTAGTCTTCCAGCTTCCTGAGCAGTAGCATTCTGGGTAGTCTTCCAGCTTCCTGGGCAGTAGCATTCCAGAAGTCCCCATCTCCCAGAGCAGCAGCATTCTGGGTAGTCTTCCAGCTTCCTGGGCAGTAGCATTCCAGAAGTCCCCATCTCCCAGAGCAGCAGCATTCTGGGTAGTCTTCCAGCTTCCTGGACAGTAGCACTCTGGGTACTCTCCTAGCTTCCTGGGCAGTAGTACTCTGGGTAGTCTTCCAGCTTCCTGGACAGTAGCATTCTGGGTAGTCTTCCAGCTTCCTGAGCAGCAGCATTCTGGGAAGTCCTTAATTTCTTGGCAATAGTATTCTGCCTAGTGTCCCACCTGCCCCAGCAGCAGCATTCTGGGTTATCCTCCGACTTCCCGGGCAGTAGCATTCTGGGTAGTCCCCCACCTCTCCGGGCAGTGGGTAGTCCCCCACCTATCTGGACAACGGCATTCTGGGTAGTCCCCCCACCTCCCTGGGC